TGTCACTACCGATTTTCTCAGGAACGGGTAGACATAAAAAGTTGAAATTTATACCAGATACTGAGGTCTATGGTCCCTGTAAGGTGTATAAAAATCAAGGTCCTAAATCAACACCATAAAAAGATGTGGGCAAATTTAGATTTTTGCGAAAACTTGTAAGTACCAAAATTTACCTTAATTTTCAACTTTTATTATTTTTCAGAATTTTCTCTTTACTTGTTCTGTAAGACCTTGCTTTTATCTAAAATTGACAATTATAGGTCCACCGGAAGTACACTATAGGTTTTGGGTCGAAAACCTATATGGTAGTTACCGTTGACCTAGAATCACGAAATTTGGCAAAAAGAAACGTCTTACAACACAAATAAAGGAATAATTTCAAAAAATAAAAAAAGTTGAAAATTAAGATAAATTTTTGTACTTACATCGCGAAAATCTACGTAAAATCTGGGTAGGTACGGAACCCTCGAGAGCAAGAGTTCGACACGTACCTGACCGATTTTTTTTTCTCCTTGGATCATGCATGAGAGCCATCTTCACTGGCTATTGATCTAGTGGTTAGTGAACCAGACTGCCCAGACAAAAATCATATTTGATTCTCAACCAAGAAAAATAATTGTGTGATGAATTATACTATAAAGAATGTTTATCAGCAGCCTGGTTAAAATACCACAGGATTTTCCTGATTTAGGATCAGCTGGATCTTGTAGGGCAGGGATGCCCAAACTATTTCAGGCAAGAGACCCAATTTCCCAAAATGAACTGATACTTCAGATCCCAGTAGTCAAATTACCTTCAAAATCCCATCTCTAAGTTTTTTCCTATTGATACTAATTACCAGTTTAAAAACTTGACATCATTTCCTCATGAAAAAAATTACAAAATAAATAGATATAAAATTGAGTAAATATCAAGTATAATTATTAATAATAAATAATAGTTAATTACATTTAAAAAAATCATTGAAATCGCAATGTAAAGAAAAAAAGGACAAATTCAGTGTGATGGATGAACCTTTGGACTTTCTACCAATTTGGCTAAATTTGGTTCAATATTGGTGAGGCTTGGACTTGAACTTGATCATTATTTCATTTGTGTTAAATCGCGTATATGTGTCAAGTACAGAGCAAGTCAAAAAGTGCCTAAAAGACTTTATGCCGGTTTCCCAGAAATCGATTTCGACCCCAAGGTGTCGATATGGACCACTTTGGGAATCTCTGTTGTAGGGTATTCAACTAGGTCGAAATGTCGGGTAATTCAAAAGAATGCATGCAATATCTTACGCGATTAAATTAATTCCTTTCTCGCTCTTGATGAACATTATGAGCATGACGTTGTGGGTTAGAAATAGTTTTATAATTTACTAGCGGACCCGACAGATGTTGTCCTGTCAAATTTGACACTGCGATGGTAGCGCCGTCTGTCTGATCCAATGTAAAACATTCCAAAATCAACAACTACTAATAAATTAAAAATTAATTAAAAAAACATTGTCCAGCGGACAAAATTGTGAATCTAAACCATTCCCAGATCCCCTTGAACACACACAAAAAATTTCATCAAAATCGGTCCAGTCGTTTGAGAGAAGTTCAGTGACATACACACTCACAGAAGAATTATATATATAAAGATTAGACATACGGCATCCAGAACCTTCGTTAGTCCACTACTTCACATAGGCCTCTCCATAGAAAGGTGGTTTTGGCCTATAGCTAGCTGGTCAGACGGTTTGGTTTAGGGTTTGTTTAACAAATTTTAGAAGTAAAATTATATTTTGTCATCATCTTTATAAAAAGCCTTTCGTAATCAATTGCGGGACATAAGCCACTCCTCAGAAAGGAGTTTTTGGCGTATTTGTGTTAGTTTTCCTTCTTTATACAGCGCTGTTGTCCTGCGTGGTTTGCTCTCTTAGTCGACTCTTACGACACCCACGGAATGATTAGGAGTGGTGACACTCCGTATTTTTAAACCATCCGCACGCGGATTCTTTGGAGCCGGAGAATTTGAGCTCTTTAATCACACTTTAAAAATTTTAACGATTATAGTAGGTAGTATGCGGATAAATATAGGCAAAAATCTGTGCTTTTTTCGTCAGTTTTAAAGTTCCGTTTCCGGGTTTTGTTACATTGTTACAATAATAGTTTATTTACTTTTGTTCACTGTAACAATACCGGGTTGTTTTTTAATTTTGCTTCGCACAACCAGTTAATGGAAAAAGTTATTTCCGGACCGACAAGACCTTCAAACCTTCAAGAAAAGAGCGTACTCCTGCCTAAAAGGCGGCAACGCGCTTGTGACTCTTGACTCCTCCTCCTGTTCATGGGCGGAGGTAGTCACTTTCCTTCAGGTGACTCGTCTGCTCGTTGGGCCCCTCTTCCATAAAAAAATATTGCACAAAAAAGAAATAGTTCATTATCAATACAGAGTATCACCACTCCTATTCATCCCGTGGGTGTCTTAACAGCCAACTAAGGAAGCAAACTACTCAGGACTGCCGTTAATTCGATGTTCATTATGTTAGGTTAACGATGCTGCTAATTTGAAAGGTCAAAATATTTTACCCCCTCTCACTAGTCTTGTCCCTCTCTAGTGGATCTTTTTTAAACTTCTACAGGAAAAAGGCGAACATAGAAGACTCAGGCTCACAAAATACAATTTTCGTTCGATTCTGGTGTCATTTCCAACACGTACTTCTGTTCGTATCCCGCAACGTGTTATAGCGCACTGCAAACTTTGTTTATCGCCTCTCAAAAAAAAAACAACTATGGTAAAGCTGTAGGTATGTGGGGCAGAACACGTTGAAACCGGAGTAGTAGAAAGCAGGTTCAATCGATCTCGAATCTGAGTGCAGTTACTCGCAGCCTTGACAAGAAATACCTTTAGCTTGTTGCAATAGAAAACAAGATGGCGCGACTTTTAGTTGCTCTGGGTTTTTAATCACAGGCTACACACTGACCTAGCTGTGGAGTCTTAGGAACGCGAGAATAGCTGAGTAAGAATCACAAAAATTAATAGGATCTGAGCAATTGTAGTGTTCCTTGAAATTATTCGGCGAGTAGTAGTGTCAGAAAAGTTATATTTGAAAAACGAATTCAGGAATAGTTATAAATGATATTACTAACTATCGAAAATCTTTTGGGTGAATATGTAAAATAAAAATCAAGATTTACAAATTGATTTTTGTTACAAGATTTTTTGATCATGAAAAATTTTAGCTTAAATTTTTACGTAGGCAAACCAGCAGACTACCACCGCCCATGGAAACCTGCAACTAAGGGTCACAAGTCCGTTGCCGCCCGTGAGTCTCAACCCCCACAATTAGGAGGTTTAGAATAGCCCTAGATTTTGGATTTCAGTAATCTCACTCACTTGGTAAAAACGACGAGAGAATTGCTTAATGTTAGCCATGGTATCACTTCCTTAGAACGCGTCGGTCCATATGTGCTAGACATGGAAATTATTGCTTAAATCATATTAATGTGATGAATTGATCGGTTTCAGTCACTGCGATTTCATCTGTAATTATTATTTGGTCATAGACAAAGATAAATACTATTAAAAACAATCAAAATTCTTTTTTTGATTTAGACATTTAACGAATCTAGTACTCGCGTAATAATAATAATAGTAAGTAGCAGTGACTTACTGCAATTTCGTCACAGGCGTAATTATATGATTTATAAATAATATGATTTATCACTGGTGACTGTAATTTTATTCCATCAATAGTTAATACCTATAACTAACAGTCTCAAAGATGCGCCGCTAACGGACGAACAGACAGGCGAAATATAACATTTAGGTATTATTTTCTTTATCTATAATAGCAAATGACGATACTCTGTACATTGCATGCACATATTTTTAGAATATTTTTTAGAATGCGAATGCGGTAAAGAGCATGTTAGGATCATCCATTAAATTTAAAGGTATAAAAGATGTCTGAAAATCAATTTTAATAATAGGGATATTTATATAGTTTGTTATCCTAGATAGTTACATTCATTGTTAAACATTAAAACAAGTTGAAGTCACAACACGCCAGTTATATGATTGCCGACAGCCGGTGGAATCAATCAAAACAAAGGCCATTGGCACGCCTAGTGATCATATTACATAAAACACCACTATTAGCCTTTCAGGCAGTCGACATAAGACCTAACTACAACTCGCAGATCGATAAAACAGCTCACCACAAACGTAAATAAACCATTAAAACACTACTGTCTTGTATTGATTAGACTCGTCTAAAGATATTTTTTTAATTCATTTTTACCGTTTATATTCTTAAATAAAGTGTAAATATACGTTAATTTTATTATTACACCTGAAAAACAGCACCAACGATTCAGAAAACTAAATTACTTACCAAATTTTACAGATCTGCAATGGTGTCTACGAATACAGCACTGAATAATTTAATAATTGCACAATATTTTATGATTTACAAACGAATAATTACATTAAAAGTGACAGATTATACACTTATATAGTCAACGATTTTAATTATAAACAGAAATTGTAGTGCAATTTACACGAAAAACTAAATAAACGTTTAATAACCTTCGCAAAAGTAGGTAGGTATCTCCGCGACGTTCTTTGATCTTTCTGTAGAGTAGTTTCTTCGGCGGACGGTAGAGTGCGCTGTGCTTTCCTGCATTGTGTCATTGTGACATATCAGTAGCAGCTGTGTTCGCAGAACACATTTTTATTTATACGCAGAATTAAAAAAAAAGTACTAAAATGATTCTGTGAAAATTATGAAAAACGATGAATAACACAAAGCATTGATATTATGTGACACTTTTACTAACAATGTTTACAGGTTTACACATATAATTAAAACGTGTTTTCAATATAATTAACTTTGTTAAAGTCTGTTGACATTATAGGTGAGGTATAACGTGATTGCGAATGTATCATAAAATAATTCGCGCGAATTTATCATAAACACTCTATTTAATTTATTTTAATAGACTGTTGCTTCCACTTTTGATAGAATGTCAGGAAGTGCGCGGATAAACCGTATCGCCAAAGAAGTAAAAAATTTTGAAACGAAGCCACCATGGGGTATTGTTTGCCATCCTTGTGAGGAAGATACTTATGATGTGTTAAATTTTTCTTTGCAAGGTCCAAAAGGATCTCCGTATGAGAATGGATCTTTCAAACTCACAGTAACTATTCCTGAGAAGTACCCCTTCGAGCCACCTCTTGTGAAATTCATTACGCCTGTGTATCATCCTAATATTGATAAAGGTACGTTACCTACGACTGTATAAGATAGTACATTATTTGAATTCGAATTTCTATTGCCAAATTCATTAGCATTTCACAGTTTGGTGATGTGCACCGCGTCGGTATTTAAGGTATAATCTCCGATCAAATAAAAAAGGTAATATGGTACTCTGTGAACAATGAAGTCAGCCCAATTAAAACTACGCTTTGGCTTGTACATACACAGTTACAATCACACATATACAACGAAATTACGCCATGTCAGTCAAAACATCATCAAAAATGTCAACAATATTTACAAGTTAAAATGTCGAATTGTGTTGTGAAAGGGTGTAAAAATCAAACTAAAATTGATATATAGAAAGATGGAATGGCAATTCACACATAAGCGTAGAAACCAATATTTTCAATTTAATAAAATTAGGAAAGCTCATGCACACATTTTTATAAAACCGGCATCACAAGTTCCATCTTGACCTTTATGTCAATGTTAGGGTATGATGCGTAAGTTTGAGGTTGTCTTGTGATCCAATTCAAACAGGGTCGCAAAAAATAAGTTATTCAAATTCAAATAGTTTATTTCAGACATAGTTCCCAGGGTTAGTACAAACAAACTAACTTAAGGACTAATGTTAGTAGTAGACATTCAATTATTATGGTGACGGGTGTGGATCTTTGCCCAGTGGTTCAGTAGAGGGGAGTCCCACCGATCCGTAAACACCTTCAGGATACTGTTAGTAGCGGTGCGCAACCAGCGGGCCATGGATGCGGTCCTCTTTCTTAAAATTGCGTAAAAGTCGTCTGTGTGCGCCCTCAAACATACAAGACGCACTACAATGCCACGACAGCCCCAACAGCATCCTGAACGTGTTATTACTTACGTTATGTGACTTTAATGAAAATAAATAAAAACAGCAACAACATATACAACTAGTTTGTAGTTTATTAACACACAAAACTATATAAATATGCTTCAAGAAAACTACAGCTGGCACACCGCTTAATATTCTGTTACTAATGGGTAACAGAATATTAAGTGACTAAGAAAAGAAAAACTACGCAGAACAACAGCACTGCAAAGAGAAGGAAAACTTGACACAAATCCTATACCAACCTGTCTGGCCAGTGTGGCCAAAACCTCCTTTCTAAGGAGAGGCTTATGTCCAGCAGTGAACTATTAAAGGCTGTTGATGATGATGATGATGAATGGTATGTAATGCCAGCAGAACTTCATTGGAACATGGCAGGACCATGCATGTACAGACAAAATTATCTACTTAAACACAAATAGTCTTGTTATCAGTCATTTGTGTGTTTGTTTAAACATTCCTAGTAAAGATTAGTTTTACCATTAAATAGTAGTTTAGTTGAAGCATCATCTGTTCCTATTGTAACTTTCTAGAACATATAATTATATTGTTAATATAATTATATCAATATATTCTATACAAATAAATAAAATTGGAGTGTCTGTTTGTAATATTAAAATAACCACTTTTTACTAAATGCATATGTATGTTTACATGGTACATATGCCAAAATAACATTTTTTACAATTTTTGTCTGTCTGTTTGTTCCGGGTAATCTCTGGAACGGCTGGACCGATTTCGACGGGACTTTCACTGGCAGATGACATAAGGAGTAACTTAGGCTACTTTTTTTAGACTAGCTTCGCCCCGCGGCGTTGCCCGTGGTTATAACAACAAACGCGGGTAACACCGCGGGTCTCAGCTAGTTTAGTATGTACAAGCTGGTGCAAGTGACTTCGTGCGCGTGGCATTTGAATAGCCTAAGTTATTCCTTATGTAGACAGCTACCTGGTAGTTAAATATTATCAAAATCGGTCCAGCTATTTAGAAGATTACCCGGAATAAACAGACAGACAGACAAAAAAAAACTGGTTAGGTATCGTGCAAATAACCGTGTGAGCATGAAAAAAATCTATAATTTTGACATTACAAACAGACACTTCAATTTTATTTATTTGTAAAGATAAAGTATTTACTCTACAGCAAAAGTAAAAAAATAAACAAGCTTCAATTAAACTTTTTTTTTTGTAATCAAGTCAAAAAATAAACTATTCTGTAACTAAACTTTTATTTTATTTAATTTCAGGTGGAAGGATATGCATGGACATGCTTAAAATGCCTCCAAAGGGATGCTGGCTGCCAACCATCACATTAGAAACATTGTTAGTATCGTTACAGACTCTACTCGCCAACCCGAACCCTGATGATCCTCTCATGATGGACATCGCATATGAAAACAAGTATAACATTGATCAATTTCGTGAAAATGCTAGAAAACATACAGAGAAGTATGCTAAATTGTAACTTACAATTAATGAGTAATAAATAACAGTGTCCGTTCCAGCACTCCTTACTTCAATGTTAAAGCTATGAGTAGCAATATATATGCTTGAAAATTCTTTAGTCCTCTTCTAAAATCTGACAACAAGGACATTGCCTAGGGATTATTCTATTAGGTCTGTGGAGACTCAGGTTGACAGTCCAGTCCACTGAGATTCTCAGTCGGGCTGTATGTGAGAAACGAAGTGACCGTAACGATAACTAATCCTATTATACTGCGCATTAAATCAAGGGGTCTGAAAAAATTTTCATTAAGACATCTATGGATTCTAATCTAAGCCTCAACACCAGGAGTTTTAGGACAATTCCTGTATAAGTCTGATTACTATTAACATTTAATATTTTATGGTAAGAAATATGTTCTAGGGAGCTAAATAATTGTATTCGTAAGAAACCTTTTTGTATAAGTTAAGATTTTATATGTTTTAATTATGTATGTTAGTTGTGTTATTTTGAAACATATGTACAGGTAAATTAGCTTGCAAAAATTTTTGCGTTTGTAGTAGTGTATGGTAGCGGACAGCGTAAACTGGTTTATTCTGGTTTTGTGCGTGTTTCCACTTTCACAAATTTTAATATCGGTCTCTCCTCTTTGAAGTTTCACTTCTTTCGTGTGTGAATCGCACACACACCTTTTTTTTTATAAAGTCAAAACCTTTTTCTTTAAAATAAAAACTTGTTTTTATTGAAAACAAAAATCAGAGTGTTGCTAGGGATAATTATAAAATTAAATAGTAATGTTAGGATATCGAAACATTTTTGTATAGGCCAGAACGATATAGTGGAAACGCGCTCTAAGATCTGAGTAATATACACACCACTACATATGCAAAAAAATTCTCGAGACTAATTTCACTGTATGTGTTTAATATATTAACACTCATAGTACCAGGTATAATAATTTACCTCACACATGTCACACACGGCCGTCTGATCCCGAACTAAACAGACCTGTACCATGGTAACAAAGACTGCTGATAAACATACTTAAATATTTCTGGGATAAAAACTATCCTATGTATTTTCTCGGGTCTAAAACTATCTCTATACTAAACTTCAGTAAAATCGGTTTAGAGGTTATTGATTCCTCATACAAATTTCCATCCCCCCATTCACCCCCTTAAATGATGACTTTTGGGACGAAAACTATCTTGTGTTTTTTCTCGGGACTCAAACTATTTTTATACCTAATTTCATCTAAAGGTTCAGCGGTTTAAGCGTTACAGACATCCTTTCGCATTTATAAGATTAGTACGACTACAGATTTTAATTTTAAAATTAAACAAAATGCACTTGTTTTGTTTTAAAAGATATAGGACTTTTTACATGCAACTCGGGAGTCACAAATCAGCGTCATTGCCCAGAATTAGGTATACACAAATTCTTTGCCGCCCTTTGAGTGAAGGGCCAGGGGTTTGAGCGTCCGGTAAACTCACTCACTCACTCACTCACTCACTCAGTGAACTGCACCGAAAGCCGTGGCATCACCCCGGTCGAGCAATCTGATATGAATCCATAAACAATCAAGTGCCTTATTAGTCAGTATCTATGTAGTAAATTAGAACCACTGTAGTATATTACTACTATTCTGTAGGTCACTATTGTAGGTAGGTCTGCGTGTCTGGTCTTGTGGTATGGAAGTCACTAAATTTAAAAAATTATTTACTTAAAAGTATCGGTAACGAGAACTCAACAACGACTGGCTGTGGTAATTCGCCATTCATACATACATTCAGCGCTTGTTATTATAGACTCAGAATGAGTATACAAAAACAAGCAACAGCGTGCAGTAGTGTAGTGTAGTGCAGTCAGCACTGCACTAGCGGTCACCCCGCCGCTTAGTACTACGCTGAGTGTTGTGGGTCCGATCTCCACAAATTGTCTACACACACATGGGACGACACTTTGTGTGATCCACAAATTGTTGTTCTGAGTCTGGGTGTTCTTTGTGTCCGTTTCATAGATGTTTGTAAAGTTCCCCGCGACTCAGGATATATTCCTATTAATAAATAAAAAGGATTAATTAATAGAGATGGCATTAACTTAAAAATATACCTTGTTTTACTGTTGTAAATAGCTTCTTATAAAATGCGATGTCAAATTTAAATTGAAGCTTGAGTAATTTATTTCCACCCTTGGCACTCATCATCACATCAACAGCCTTTACCAGTCCACTGCTGGACATAGGCCTCTCCTTAGAAAGGAGGTTTTGGCCTACTATACCACGCTGGCCAGACGGGTTGGTATAAGGTTTGTGTCAAGTTTGCCTTCTCTCCGCAGTGTTGTTGTTCTGCTTAGTTTTCTCCCTTAGTCGGCTCTTACGACACCCACAGGATGAATAGGGGTGGAGACACTCTGTATTCTTAATCCATCACCACACGGACTTGGCACTCAAGTCCAATATAATGCAGACAAAGCCAAATGGTAGTAGAAGAAATGTACTGATATTGGAACAAGATTAAAACGTACCATAAACCATATAGTCTTTATTTTAAACGTTAATGTAACTAGTAAATAGGTGGGATTTGTTTGTTTAAAGAAATCAGATGGTTTCTGTATGGGTCGTACGCATTTTACAGGACATCACAAGCACATTGTTTTCGACGTTATTACAAAATATATTTTTAAACAGTAGCGTTAGATAGTACAACAATATGAGTTGTTTTTTGATCTGTATTTAGATTTAAGAACTGTCTTTCTTAAACCAACATTTGTTAATAAATTTTCATTATGAATGTTGTATTTTTTTTTAATATCATCTCTGTAATTTTTTTTACCAAAAAGTTAAATAGATAAAGAAAAAATGAATATTTATATGGCCTGAAAAGATAAAATAACAATAATTTTTGTCGACATCTGACACACAACGCCATCTAGTTTCAAACTAAGCAGAGCTTGTACTATGAAAGCTAGATTGACTGATAGAATACTTATATATCTTTTTATTGGTAAATATATGCAGATCATACAAACATCTAGCATACCGACCTGGGAATCGAACCCGACACATCAGGTCACGAGGTCACGCCGGGCATTCTGCCAGCGTGTGAAGCGCCGTGTCCACGGTCCGGCCAACGCAGAGGTGGCACCCGGGCGTTGGCTCAGACACCTAATCCCCGAAGCATCCTTTTCCAGTGATCACCTGCGTCAACCGGTATGAGCGGATCCCGTGATGCCTTTCGAGCCAATCCTCCATAACGGGTCTTACCGCCGCGATTGGCGTGACAGGCGTTCGGTTGCCCAAGTCGTTCCTTTCACTCCTCTACCAGAACACGATGGAGTTGGGATTTCTGGTCCTCGATTTCTCGAGTCCCAGGATTCCGATCCGACTCGCCCCCTCCTTGCGCCACTGATACAGAGCCGCAAGGGCTCTCGCCTCCAGTTCCCACGGTGAAGTTCCGACCAAGCATGAATGCAAAAACGCTGCGACCTCGCGTCGGCTATTGGATTAAAAAGCCTCTAACTGGAGACCATGGTTCCATGGGCCATAGTCCAAAATGAGAGTGCGTGCGTATTGTTATCCAAACTACTAAGTTTCACTTCCATAAGCAAAAGTAATCGTTAAATATGATAAATATAACTAGATTAATTGTTTTACACTAAATATATTTATCAAGTTGATACATTTAGAGATTTTTACATGAGAACCTGCAAAACAATGACTTTTGAAAGCACTTGTTACATTGGTTATTTATAGAGATGGGCGTTTTCGTTAAATTTATCATCGATGCGCATCGTTAATTGGTGAACCGCATCCGATGCCGGCATCGTTTTGATTATGCGATTTCCGATTAGGCAAAATTAGTTGCCGGCTAAAGTGTCTGCGCATGAATATTAGATAAAGTATTAGTAAAGATATTGTAAGAAAAAAAAAAAACAAAAAAAAAAAAAAAAAAAAATAGGTATATATTATTACTCGGTAACGTTGCCTTATTGAAATCATTTGATATCTATTTTATAACTTTGTAAATAATTTAGATACGATAATCAACATTACGACTTCTACCGGTAAAAAGTATAGAGGTTATAGAATAAACATAAGGTAATTAATATTAGTCTTTACTTTTAACAAAATTAGAGTTGACATTAAGAAAAAACAATTTTTCTAATTTGGAACTTGAAATACGAGTTCTTCGTTCATTCAAAATATACCCGGCTTTGGAGAATATCCGTTTGCATGGCAACGTCAACTTTTTGCCGGGGAAAAATTTCGTCTTCCAGGTACAACCGCCTCTATCATCAAATCGATGCTTCGACTTGTCATCGCCGCGTTTTCCGTTTCGTAGTCATCTGCCGCCTCTCGCTCGCTCGCATTCGGTGATGTTCGCATCGGATGTTGCGGGCATCCGTTTTCAATATATCGGCATCGGATGCCGGCATCGTGTACTGGCATCGTTGCTTAAAAACGTTTTTACAAAAACGACCATCTCTAGTTATTTATAATCATATTATATACACAAGCGATAATGAGTTTTTATTTTAGTTTAACAAAAACAGCAAATATCTTCCTAAACATTTCCCAGTAAAGCGTCCGATTCCTCAACTAACGCGGTTTTAACATTATAAAGCTCTACTTTGCACTTCAAATACTATAAATTGTTATTCTCTTTGCTATTCAAATTCTAGGTATTCATTGTTAAATATATATTATATTAAGGGTAATGCTGATTACAATATTATAACTGGCGTACCACAGGGGCCTGTATTGGGACCTTACCTACAATACTGAGGGAGTATAGTAATTCACTAGGTTAGAATACACCATATTTTTTTAAATGTTGGTTTTACAAATATGTATCGCATGATGATTTTAAGACAAAATAAAACTCTTGGTTGTATAATCGAACAAGTGATTGTCGAATCCAGATTGCACTGCAGCCATATGGCCGCCATTTGTATGTACAAATGGATGGATAGTTTATCCTTCTACAGTATACTTGTAAAAAATAAAATATTAGTTACGTGTATAGTGTTTTGAATTCTATCATTTCTCATCACCTTTAAAAACCATGTTGTTAATTAGTCAATATTTGCATGATGAACTATGTGAACTAAACTACATTTGATTTTCATAAGCATTTATTAGTTAAGTAAAAGATAAATAGATATACTTATATGACTATAAACTATTCTATTATTGAAACTGTTCATTCATTCATCATTCATTGACATCATTCTTTAGACCGATATTGCTTTAAATAAGTCCATTAAGCAAAAATAAAAACAGCGTACATTATTATGTACAGGCATTTCATTTTCAACCAGTATCCGTACTGCTATCATCTCCAGAGCTCGCACTTTCAGTCTCAGAAGAACTACTATTCCTTTTAACTTTTCTACCAACCTCATTTGAATTATTTGCACTGGCAATATTAGGATCTTTATTATTATTACTTTCATCACTATTTACATCTTTTTTCTTGGACTTTTTACTTGTTTGACTTGTTGTAGGTTTAAGGGTTTCTGTAGAGACTGTAGCCACCATTTTGGATTCTATTCTTGTCTCTGAAGGTTTGAAATCTTCTTCATCATCCTCATCATCTATTGGTCTTCTGTTCATTATTGATGCGGCAACAGCTGTTTTGTAAGCTTCTGGGTATTGTGTGCTGAAATTATTAATACAAAACATTGGCAATAACTTATGCTATGCAAGTAATATTGGGGAGTCAGTGATGAATTCACTAGTCTCAACAGTCAATTTTCAGGCAATAAGTTAATTAGATTCCTATTTATCATAAAAACTGCTAGTAACAGTAGTCACTGGTCACTAACTGTCACCAAGGCCAGTGTAGCATAGCAAAAATTCAGTTCAAAATAGGTAAACTATTGGTGTCATTCATAAAACTAATTAATTTCATTAATTATTAACTATTGGCTTTCTATTTAAATAATTCTCATGGAATATGTGAGTTAGTATCACATCACTTTATACATCAACAGCCTATGATAATCCACTGCTGGACATAGGCCTCTCCTCTGAAAGGTGGTTTTGGCCTACCTTGCCTTGCCTTGCCTTGGCCAGCTTGGTATCAACCTGGCCAAGGCAAGTTAGTATATAAAATAATATTTTACAAGATAGGAGCTATGTTTTCCTCGGTTGGAAGAGCTCCTTGGGGACTGTGTATCAACATCATATGTAGCGTTTGGTGATCCATAATTGTTATCCATCCATCAACATTATAAATTTACAAATGTTAATAACTGAGCAGCAGGAAGGGAACATCCGGTTTCCCACACAGGAGGGATCATCTATAAGCCGTAGATGGCCCGAAGTATGTCAGGGTACTAGAGCTTTCCTTTCTTGGGTATACCAAGTTCCTCAGCTCCTGGTACCTGGAGACGGCGTGCGGTTTTTGGTCGGTTGGTAGTTCATATCCGAGGGAAAAAAAGAAAAAGGTGACCTATGCAGTTTGGGGATGTTTAAAATGATTACCTCAGTTTTGTCTTTATAGCTCTTATTTTCTTGAATATAAACTCCAGATCTTTCCTCATCTCAAACAGCAGTTGTGTATGTTTTTTGAACTCAGCTGATGCCGCACGCAGTCTGCTTGCAGACAGTTGGTTGCAGTTTGTTAGCATTTCTGTTGTTTTTTCAAAACGTTGTAACCTGTAATTTATAAGGTTAATATTTAAACAAAATTCTATATAAAATTCTTTAAAATTTCTTTGTAGTTTTGTGCTCTTCCATATACCAACTTTAAGTAATCCCAATATCACACTCCTCAGTTCCCATTTAGGAACTTGCATGATGTTATATAGGGGGCAATATGTTACTAATATTATAAAGACAAATGCCTATTTAATGTTAATACACATCAAAACCTCTTACATATTCTTTTGTGCTCTGATAACAGTTTCAACATCATTCTGATTCACCATTCCAGCTAAACCTTGTACAAAAACTTCGGGTGCTGAATAGTTTTGAAAGCATTCTATAGAAAAATCACTCTCCGGTGTGTCATTTGCCATTGCAAGGTTTTTAATTTATTGAAATACTTGAAAATCGATTTATATTGTTTTGAAACGTCAACAAATCAACACAATTATTGACAGTAATGACAACTATCTTTCCGTTCCATTACCAGTAGTATTGCTATTATTTTCATATCAGATTAATATGAATCGACATCATTCGATTTTAAAACTTACATAATTTTAATTTTAATCAAGAAAAAAAGATGATTTACATTTCGACCGCCAAAAAAGTTGGATTATTAGTCCGGCCCGGTTGCAGGTTTCCACATCGTGGCAATTTCAAAACTGGTCTCATATTTTAATGCATTCTAGAAAATGTATTCGAGTACCTACACATAAGAGTTTGAGTACGTGACTTGTTAGAACCAACTTGTCAAACAAGTCAATAAACCTATAAGCAATAAGAGGTCAAATCTAATCAAATTATAATATAAAAATATTTTATTCACAATTCGAATTGTGGAACATCATTTCGAGTAGTTTTAAAGCGATTACCAGCTACAGAAGAGATTTATTTGAATAAACAAGACTTGAAATAATCGGCTCGACCGGAGTGATATCACAGGCATCACAGCCTCACAGAAAAACAAAACTAGTGTTAAGCAATTCTTTCATTGCTTTTCAGTGAGTGACTTACCTGAGCCTTATTCATCTCGTGGGTGTCGTAAGAGCCGAATAAGGGAGTAACTACGCAGGATACAGCACTCCAAAGAGAAGGAATACTTGTAATAAAACCTATACCAACACGTCTGGCCAGCGTGGTATAGTAGGCCAAAACCTCCTTGTAAGGTGAGGCCTATGGGATACTGCTGGAGCAGTAGACTATTTAAGCACGGTACTATTATAATACAGTACTCCAACTTCATACAAACGGACGAAACGCGAGCTATACCTACGCGCCTCGATCTCGGGGTGCGCTCGGGGCGCAGACAGTCACGGCTGTACCGCAGTGTCGAACGGACTGTGTGTTGTTTTTTTAACAATAACCGCGCGATTTTTTCTCTAAAAATCAGTTAATATGACTAGTAGGAAATATTGTGCTGTTTTTGGTTGTATGAATTCGTCAATAACGCATCCAGACATAAGTTTTTTTAAATTACCTGGAAACTCTGAAAAATAAGACTATAAAATAATTTTACTTACTCGTAGGTAGGTACATAATGTGTGTCTTTTTAATGGATAAGTATTTCCTTTTATCTCACGAAAAAAAAGGTGTTTGGATGAATAAATAAAGCAAATAGAGTAACGGAAAGTTATTGAGACGAGTGAAATAGGTGGTTATATGCGGTTCTGAATGAATCATGATACGGTAGGTACCTACCTACTTACGCTTGTGTTAAAACTTCGGTGCATGTGTGTTTTATTACTTTGCATAATTCAAAGTAAAGACGTGGTATTTTATTATTAATAATATTTGTTTATTATCTGTGTGTATGAATAATACTAAAAAAAAAATTTTACCGTCTGTGTGTCATTAGACAGTTTTCAAAATTTTCACAAAGTGTTTCTGCTGCTACTATAACAACATATACCACTAAAAACTGGTTTTAATTTCTCGGTACTAACAACAACAGCTAGACTCATATATAATATTTAGATGTTTGAGAGTTGTGATTTTAAAACATTCGTAGTCAGCTGTTCAGCTTTTTAATAATTAATTAATTGGTGACCAAAGAATTTTTGTTTTGAGTTGTTGCGAGTTGTAGGTAGGTACCTAATTTATAGAGACGTTAATAAGCTGAGATAAAAAGTTACTTACTCGTCAGCTGTTTCTTGCATTCTAGTTGAGTAGGTAGGTGTTGGAGTTTCTAAGGATTGGAGTTTTGTAACGCGTAAGGAGAAAGCACATTTATTTTATTTTATAGAAGGATTTTTTTCGGTCGCAAATTTATAAGCCCGATTTGTTTATCAAACAAAAACATGTTTTATTAATTAAATCTACCAATCAAATAACAACACGCATTTTTATTGAACACTTCCTATTCAATATACAAAGTATTTCATTTATTTATATAAAAAGGATATTTACAATCACAAATCTAAATAGAAACAGCAAGTAGGCAAATATAATTAAAATGCTGGAGACGGGCAGCCGCGCGGCTGTAGGCATTTATTTCTATCATGCGCCCGAGTTACACTACTGTATTATAATTGTACCGTGATTTAAGGCTCATACTTGTTGATGATAATGATGAATTTCTAGAAATAAAATTGTAAAATGTCACACTAGGGAAGGGAATTCTCACAGATATGACTAGCTGTGACAAGGACGGTCATATATGGATAGTCTTGACTCGGTAATAACTCAATAACTACTAATTATTATAACAATTGCCAAAAGATTTATTTTGATTTATATTTTTTTCAAATTGAAATAAGCCTACATTTTTTAGTTATTTGTCAATTTTCCAAAACGATATTACAGGTATTAGACTAGTTTAGACTGAAATCATATTCTGAAAACATTATTTATCTGTGTAGTTAAAAAAAATAACAGACAAGATAATTACAGTTTTAATTTTTTAGAAGCCACTAAGGCTCGACTTGGCCTAGCCCTTCGATTTGAAGGTGGAACGGAACGCCAATGTCATCATTTATACTTCGGCGAAAAACTCTCTGCGATGCTAATGGTTTACTTTGGGCCTTTGCCCGCCTCTCCTTCTGCTTCAACGTTAAAGGAAAAACGTTTCTTAGCTGCGTTTCAGAGTCTCTCGAATTAGTTTTAGTCACTATTTCATCCAGTAGCCATTTTGGTACGTAAACGTGGTTATTGTCCTCATCGTGTGACAATATCTTTGAGTCACCACGGGATAGTACGTTATTTTTTATACTCGATGCTTTTATACGTTTGTATTTTTTCAAAGGACTTTGTTTAATCCTCATCAAATCATTAATTTGATTTGTCAGGTCATTCTCAGTTTTACTTAGATCCACCACAACAGCTTTAATAGGCTTAGATTCTGAAGCCAAAACATTTTGATCTCTTACCGATTCTTCATCATCATAGTTGTTGGCCTCTAGAAGATTAGATATATCAACATCCTTAAACAATTGTAGTTTACTTCGCTCATTTTCATCTCGCTCTTTAACTCGTGAGTTTCCAAGATATTTTTCTACATCAGATAAGTCTAGAACTAATGCATCTAAATCATCACTAACTTTAATTTTTCTGCCTTGTGATTGAAATAGACGCGCAATATGTGAATCACCGATAGGTAGACGTCGTTCACGAAGTAGTGTCTGATCAATACCACACGAGTCACCAGAGCATCTTGCAACATTTGTATTATCATTATCATCATCACGATCATAACCAGCATCATCATCATCAAGTTTACTTAGCCCACATCTATCACCTACGCAATCTGCTCTATCTTCAACATTTACATCGTCCCTGCCACATTCATCTCCAAAGCAGAGTAAGTTATTATAAATATTATTACTTCTTTTAGTATCATCCTCTTTATCACCACTTCGGCCTCTACCGCATCTGTCTCCTACACAACGATTCTCAGCACTCACTTTATTTCCAAGTTCGTGTAACAAGTTAACAACTTGGTCCACATTACTTACACTTCTAGCATTATCTTCGGATCTTAAACTAGGTGAATCTTCAGTTTCATCATAATCGTAATTATCATCAGCGTTTTTAAGTTTCTTCTTGAGAAATAGATTAAGGTTTTCTATATTTGTGACACTGGGAAGTCCTTCGTCTTCAATATGCGTGTGTGTTTTGTAATGTTTCTTATGTCTATGATCATGCGTGTCTTCATTGTGGTGATGATGATGTGAGTGTTCGTCGTGATGAGAGATGCGTGTTATATCTTCATGGTGGCTTTTAGGGCTATCTTCATGGTGGCTAAATGCTATATCAAATTTACCATCGCTGTACAATGTCTTCAGCAATTGTTGTAAGTCATTTTCGTTTGTGATGATTAAAGGCGATTCTTCTGTTTTTGGTTTGGCAACAACAAATGTAATTATTCCGAATATAATTGCACAGATCTTGGTGTCCATGTTTGTCCAAGATGCTGGATATTGTGTTCACTGTAATAAATACAAAGACATTACAAGTGTCTTTTTGCAGTGAAATGTAATAATTGATTCGAAAACTAGTTTCACGGATTGCTATCGTTTTGTAATTGGCGTGATATTGAAAAAAAAATTAAGATGTACCGTCACTTATTGACGTATGTAATAACTTTTACGAGAACTACAGTTTATTCATTGTCATGGTAAATTAATCGTTAATATACATATTCCTGGCATCAATTAAAGTTTAAATAATATGTTTTAATTACTGTATATTAATGTAGACTACAACGTCAAATTTATTTTCAAAGTTTATTAGAGGGAAATAAAACAAACATCTCCATCCAAATGTACCTACAACTAGTGATCACATGTGGCATATCTTGTATCCATAGATATCTAGAGTACAAAGTTAATAATTTTTAAGAATTGTTTTTTTAAATTATTAAAAATGTTATACACTGTATTTACTATAGATGGTTAACAATATGATAATTGACCGAATGAACCGTAATAGGCTCAGTTCACGATATCTGGCGGCAAAAAAATGTCTGTAGGATTATTGTTATAAACATGTTTTTTAAATTACGTCAATGTGAGATATAGTTTGAGATACTATAGTTATTTCTTCTAATTTAGGTATAATTTGTACTGTCTGGCTGTTATCTATCTGTATATATTTGGAATATATTTGTTTTAGAAATTGTGTTTGTGACTGGTTAACAGTAATAGACTTACTAGTCACTAGACATGGATATTATTGCTACTTTTAAATCATATTCTTACGAGCGATTTTACCTGTGATTGGGGTTTCGCCATAGACAGAGATAAATGCCATTTAAATTAATCAAATATCTTTTTATCAAAGATTACGACCTTTTTTTTTGAGAATTTAGACCATTCGCGAGTCTTGTGCTAGCGTAATAATAATAATATGTTGCAGGCGGTTTCTTATGTTAGTCACAGGTGTGATTATATGATTTATGAATCATATGTGACTGTGATTTGTCACCTATTACGTTTGTAGAACCAAATGATAGTCGACAAAATCGCATCTCTCTACGTAAGTGTTTGTATATCATGTATGTTGACTATAAGTTTTGTCTTGGGCTTTACAACCGTAAAGTTGAAATCAAAAGCTGTATTTGATTCCCCTGGCTTTATTTTTGCAACTTTTTGCAACTAGACAAACTAAAATGATTTTTCTTTTTGAACTTATATAAAACAAAACTTTTTTCAATTCAGCTAGTTACAAAAGCGTGTTTTTTTTTTAATTTTTCACAAAACATTTTTACGTTCAACCCTCTCCCTTAATTCTGGAGGAGAGGCGTTCAAAGAGTGCTGACGCAGTACTTATGACTCTTAAGTCAGCAGCGGCGGAGGCAGTCACTGTCAGGAGACCCATCTGTTCATTTGCCGTCTGTACCATAAAAAAAAAACATTTCAATTGGTGTCCTTGAAATCCTGCCCGTGTGGTGACGGATTCAGAATATGGAGTGTCACCACCCCTATTCATTCCGAGGGTGTCGTAAGAGTCGACTAAGGGAGCAAATCACGCAGGACAACAGCACTGCCTAAGAGAATGGAAGCTTGAAACAAATCCTATACCAACACGTCTGGCCAGCGTGGAATAGTAAGAAACAAAACCTCCTTTATAAGGCTGTTGATGATGATAACTCAGAACAACAATTTATGGATTACACAAAATGTTGTCCCATGTGGGGATCGCACCCACAATACTCAGCGCAGCAGGAAACGACGATGTGACTCGACTCGACTCGACGGCGGCAACTTAAACTGCTGTGCCATCCGTGTAGTCTTAAATACTTAATGTTTAAAAAATATCTACTACTAGCTGACCCGCACAACTTCGTCTGCGTCTCTCAATAGTAATAAATTTTCTCAAACATTCAAATTATTCAAAAACATTCTTCATTGGTGCTCCGCTCCTTTTGGTCTTAGCGTGATGATATATAGCCTATAGCCTTCCTCGATAAATGGGCTATCTAACACTGAAAGAATTTTTCAAATCGGACCAGTAGTTCCTGAGATTAGCGCGTTCAAACAAACAAACAAACAAACAAACAAACAAACTCTTCAGCTTTATAATATTAGTATAGATATATAGTAAAGCAGACGGTTCTTGTGAAAATACTACAACTAAGGCAAAAACTTGACCATAGGATCAGGAAGAAGACCGGGATAGGGCTTCACTAGGCATGGCGTCAATGATCCTCCTCGGAGTGGGGCGCCTGAGTCCGGCCGTCGGGGTGCCTTATAGTAGAAGCACCACATACCTCGCCTACTCCTCCTTCATCCCCAAGGAGCCGGAGATCCGAAGGGATTTTCCATCCCGTCAAGAAAAAAAAAGGCCCGGAAGAAGTATCTAAATCGCATTTCTTATATTGTTCTTTGTTTATAGATCGTTATCAATAAACTAAAGTGTGTTCTTCAAAGTCAGTCATAAACAGATAATTCGGATGAGATAATATTTCCCGGACATCTGACACACAACGCCATCTTGTTTCAAACTAAGCAGAGCTTGTACTATGAAAGCTAGATTGATTACTTATTTTTTTTTAAATACCTACATATACAATTTGCGTTGTGCGTATGTTTAGCGTCTTTCTTGCAACTTGTAATAATAATATTTTTTCCGACATCTGACACATAACGCCATCTAGTTTCAAACTAAGCAGAGCTTGTACTATGAAAGCTAGATTGCTAATAGAATACTTATATACCTTTTTATTAGTACATACATACCTATTGTACATAGAAAACATCCTAACTCCGAAACAAATATTTGCAGATCATACAAACATTTGGTCTGACCCTGAAACGAACCCGCGACCTTAGCACAGCAGTTGCTTATACCACCACTGCACCACCGAGGGAATATGATAAGTGATTATTTCCAATCATCAGTTTTTGATGCATCATGTAATTTGATTACATCAATCACGTGGTTAAATAGAAAAAAAGGCGTAACTGACTAACAATTATGACTGCACTGCGGCTAATTGACTGCACGGATGGCGTAGTGGTTTAAGCGGTCGCCACGCCGCTTCCTACTACGCCGAGTGTTGTGGGTTCAAACCCCACATGGGACGACACTTTGTGTGATCCACAAATTGTTGTTCTGAGTCTGGGTGTACTTTGTGTCCGTTTCATGTATGTTTGTAAAGTCCCCCGCGACACAGGATTTATTCCTAATGCGGGCGTTGTGTTAAAAAAAAAAAAAAAAAAAAAAAAAAAAAATTGTAAGACTGCCTCGGTGGTGCAGTGGCAGCATATGCGACTGCTGGGCTCAGGTGTCGGGTGCGATTCCCGGGTCAGACCAAATCATCATAGTCGTAGAATAGTGTCGGATCTGACATTTATTGAACTTTACAGGGCAGCCATTTCAAATAATTATGTTAGTATTTTTTAACCGACTTCAAAAAAGGAGGAGGTTCTATGTTCCACTGTATGTATTTTTTATTTTTTTTTATGTATGTTCATCGATTACTTCGTCAATTGTGAGCCGATTTTCAAAATTCTTTTTTTGACATAACTTTTTTAATTTTAAATCTGTAATTATGAAAATTGGTTTACAAGTAAAAAATAGAGTTTGTTTTAAAATGCAATAAAAATAACAACTAATAATTACACAGTTTTCCAGAAAAACCACATGCTTCATTTTACTTTGAGCGCCTATAAACACCGTCAGTTTATCGACTGAATAATTTCAAATCTAATATACATATAATTTTTTCTTGAATGTTGTAATAAAAAGCCGTGTGGTGTCGTGGGACACCCGATAGGAACGAAGTTGTAACGATCAAGTAAAACTGATTCGACACGATTTTAATAACAACGCCATCTATGAAAGCGGCTATTACCTACATATTTTTCAGTTGGATTCTAATTAAAACAATTTATACATTGGTAAAATCTCCTTGAGAAATGATGTCGAATACAATATTTTTTGCTCAACCTAAAAACATAAATTTTAATTTTACTGAGATGAAAAGTAATGATTTCCTATCTATTCGATAGATGGCGCTGAATGAATGACAAGTGACAATTCAAAATAAAAAGTGTCGTTACAACTTTTCGTGAGAATTTTTCCGTCTAGCTCCCTTTCACAACGCGCGATAAGGAACTTAGTTCCAATATTTAGACAATGTAGTATCCAAATATGGTAAAAACAGAATTACGTATTTTTTCACGACATTATTCTACGAAAATGGCGAAATGTTTGTATGATCTTCAAATATTAGTTTTAGAGTTTGGATGTTTTCTATATATAAAGTGTATGTATTTACAAAAAAGACAAAAGTATTTAAGTATTCTATCAGATAATCTAACGTTCACAGTACAAGCTTTGCTGACTTTGATACTAGATGGCGTTGTGTGTCAGATGCCCAAAAAAAAAAAACTTTGCTGGCTATGTTGCGGGTTACTTGTCTACCATCAGATGGTTCGTGTGCCCTGCTGCGTTTGCTTTTCTGTTATTATTTCTTATTTCATGTTTCTAAATTTGAAAATTACGAACTTCCATAAAACCGTTTATGTACGCGACTGCACGGATGGCGTAAGTAGTCGCCTCGTCGCTTACTGCTACGCTGAGTATTGTGGGCTCACACAACAACACTTTGTATGATCCAAAAATTGTTGTTCTGAGTCTGGGTGTTCTTTCTGTCCGTTTCATGTAGGTTTGTAAAGTCCCCCGCCATACAGGATATTTACCTAGTGCGGGAGTTGTCTTCAATAAAAAAAACACTCTTATTTTAATTCCTTCCAGGTAAAATTTTAAAAAATCCTTTCTTAATGGGTGCTTACAACATTAAAACAATATAACAATCATTAAAACATAAAGAGCATTAAACAATATTATTTTTTAGCCCCAGCGGTGCAGGTTAAGCGTTTTTGAATCAGTGAGTCAGTAAGGTCAATAAAGAGGAATGCCGATATTAGGCCCAGAACGCCCAAAAATTGTG